GTCTCCCAGATCAGAAGCCCCCCCCCCCAGGCCACGCGAGGGAGGGAGGGGGGAAACATCTACGACTGGCTTCAGCTGGAAGAACCTGGCCACTGGAGCCCTTTGACACATTTATGGGTCCTAGCGATGCCAGTGAAGTTTGCACTCCGTGTGCTGCTCCAGCTCTGTGGAACAGCCTTGCAGAAGACCCAGGGAAGGCAAAGGCCCCTCCCTGCTTGTTTCACAGTCCTGTCTGAGTCCAGCAGCACCCTGGAGACCAGCAAGGGTTTCAGGGCATCGGCTCTCCCTCCGCCAGGCATGAGCAGGAAAAAGGAGAGACCTGCAGCTGCATCCGCGGTCTTCCACAGCTGCATGAGGGCCAGAAGAGAGAGCTTCTTCAGGGGGCCTTTGGCATCCCTGGGGGGCTTCTGTAGCCTGCTAGCCCTGAAGAGCGGGACTCTGTTTCGGATGCTCTCTGGAAGGTTTCTGCTGGCTCTTTTAACAGGTTGCTGTCTTCAGTTTCCGGTGTTCTACACGGGGTTTATTCTGTTATCCTCCTTAAGCCCCATATAAACATGTAAAATAGGTGCTGTTTGCTTATCCGAGCCCCACAGAAGCCCTCTCTGGCTCAGATGGTGTACCTGAGCCCGCCAGAGGAGGATTCTGCCCCCCCCCGCCAACTTACCTGCTGCTGTGCTGGTGGGTGGCAGGAGGTGGGAAGAGCCCTTGGCCCAGCACCTCACCGGTCCCCTCATCAGCTGAGGCACCCCAGTGCATACTGGGAAATGAAACTCTGCAAACTGTATTTCCCAGCAGGGATTCTACCATCAGTGGTAGAACAGGGGGAGCAGGGGGAGAGGAAGGGAGAAAATGTCTTCCTTCTTCCTAGCCAGTGTGCTGCCTGCCTGTGACTGCAGCCACAGGGCAGTCAGCAAATGGGCTTGGAGACAGGGACTCTGGGAGCCCCTCGGCACCCCAAGGGACCTGCCGGGGGCTTCCATGGCATCTCAAGCCCCTCCCGAGTGCCGGCAGCAAGGCTTGGATTAACCCCGTGTATCCACACAGAGCTGCCCTTCCCTGCGCCAGACTGATACCAGGGGCGGTCCCTTGAGAGCTGCCAGACACCTAGCAGGGCCTTCTTTTGATTTATTCGTGGCGTCGGAACAGGTGGGGAGAAGGCAGTAGTCCCAAATCATGGCCATCCCAAACTGGGACGGAAAGGCGGTTTTGAGACTGACTGGAATTCCCTGGGTCTGGGCAAATGATCAAAAGCGCAATGAGGTCTTTAACTGAAGTGTCTATACTTTATCATCTCTCTTGGTACGGCATTGCCCTACAGCAGCGGCTTCCGATTCCCTGTAGGAAGGGAGCCATAAAGATGCAGGGTTTTTTTAAAAGGTTAATTAAACAATTACACAGTCGACAGAACAGAGGCAGCTCTCCTTCCCTCGCTGCCCGCCCCCATCCATCAAAAGAACCCTGGGCAGGTACAGCACATCTGGGAACAACCACGTGGAGCCGGGAAGGGATGGGAATGAATGGCAGGAGGAGCGAGAGGGAGACCAGGGCCCGCCCGCCCGCCCGCCCTTTCCTGGCATTCCAGGCCCTCTGCCGGGACATTTCTTCTTCTTCTTCTTCTCCTCCAGTCTGGCTCTGGATTAGCAGAGCTGCTGGGAAGAGCAGCAGGGTGGGTGTGAGCCCTTGGGGGGAGACCCCTCCGCTCTTGCCGCACTCCTTGCTCGGAGCTTTTCTGAAAGAGGCTGAACCTTTCGCAGCAGGGATGCCGAGGAGGGAGGGAGGAGGAGGAGGCTGGATTTAGACCTCGCCCTTGTCAGACTCCTGCAGCCATCAGCTCCCAACAGCTTTCATTCAAAGAAATAAAGTTTATTGAGAATATGAGAGTTTGCAGATATCTTAACCATTTCATGTTAGAACTAGCATAAAACGTGTGAAGAAAACAGTTACACATTGTTCAAGAAGACCCCCTGATGGCCCAGGGCCAATCAGAGGCCAGGTAGAAGCCCGCCAAAGTATCGGGCTACTTTTCCCAGGGAAAATACTACACCAGGCACAGATAATGGAAAATGAGAAGACACAGCAGAAAAGAAACTTAACATTCCAGAGTCACTCCACTCCCAAGGCAGCCGGGGCTCGAGAGAGGCTTAGCTGACAGCCCTTCACTGCCCAGAGGAGTCTCAGAGCAGCTCACAATCTCCTTCCCCTCCCCCTCCCCACAACAGACCACCCTGTGAGGTAGGCGGGGCTGAGAGAGCTCTTTTGAGGACTGCTCATGAGAGAACAGCTCTGAAAGAACTTGTGACTGACCCAAGGTCACACTAGCGGTTGCATGTGGGAAATCAAACCCAGTTCTCCCAGAGTAGAGTCTGCGCTCCTAACCAGTACACCAAACTGGCCGGCAGCAGCCACTGAAGGCCCTTGAACTGTGGCACCCCAGGGGAGGGGGCTCCTGGTCAGCCTCTGCTCTTGAGCCAGCCCTGCCTCGCAGGGCCGCTTCTAGGTCTTGAGGAGCCATAGGCAGGCAGTGCTCCAGGGGCACCCTCCCATCCTCTGCCCACCATCACCAGGACCCCTGTTCACACCTCCCTTCTTGCCCCCATGTCCCCCCCACCTGCCTCTCAGCGCTCAAACCACCCATGCTCACAGCCGCTTACACCCCCACAGACGCATGGAGGAGAGGTCCGCCAGTGGCTACAAGCCACCATGACTAAAGGGAACCTCTGTGTCCAAAGGCAGTAAACCTCTGGTTCCCAGTGCCAGGAGGCAGCATTCGGGGAAGGCCTCAGTGCCCTGTGGTTGGACCTCCAGAGGAACTGGGCAGCCCCTGTGTGAGGCAGGGTGCTGGACTAGAGGGTCCCTCCCTGGTTGGATCCAGCAGGGCTGTCCTGGCGTTTTCAAGGGAACTGGGCCGGGTGTGTGGCAGAGAGTGCGGCGGCTGCAGCGCCCCGGAGCACCCCTTCACCACCCGCCCACCTCCCAAGCGAGGCGGGGCAGCCAGGAGCAGAGGAGGCGGCCTGGCAGGCGGGTGGGGGAGGGGAGCACCTGCAGGCAGGTGGCAGAAGAGGTGCGTAGGCAGGGGGGGGATTAGGGGTGGGGGCTGGGCCCTCCTCAGGCTATGCTGGCACCAGCCCTGCTGCCCAGAAAGAAGTCCATGATGACGCTTGGAAAAGAGTGGAGGACTGTGCCGTTAGTCACAAGAGCAGCCCTTGCCTTGAGTGCTGCTGCAGTGGGGAGCAACGTGGAGGAAGGGAAGACCCCGGGTGGCGGGGGGGGCCTTCTTTCCCTCCAAAGCCACGTCCAAAGGACATGGCGGCTGTAGGTGAGAGCGGTGGGTGGCAGGAGAGGCTTAACCCTTCACCCCGTGACCCAAAGTCACCCAGGCCACAGAATGCAGCTCAGCAGCACCCGCGTTTGCAGGGCTCAGCACCTCTCCCAGCCCGCAAAAGGCTGCCTGGGCCCCCGCAGTTGTGTCCCCTCCACAGGACACTCGCCAAGCTCACGATGAGCCGCTCCGCCCAGTCGCTGCCTCCTGAGAAGCTCCTTCTGAAGTCGAAGGTTGCCAGGGCTGGGAAGGGGGATTCCTGGAGCTTTGGGGGTGGAGTCTGGAGAGGGTGGGGTTCAGGGAGGGGAGGGGCCTCAGCAAGGTATAATGTAGAGTTGCCAACTTTGGGCTGGGAAATTACTGGAGATTTAGGAGCAGATCCTGTGGAGGGCTGGGTTTGGGGGGGGGGGACCTTGCAGCGTATAACGTCATAGAGTCCATTCTCTGAAGCAGCCATACGGATCGCTGTAGTCCGGAGACCAGCGGTCACTCCAGAAGAGCTCCAGGCTCCCACCTTGGGGTCGCCAACCTCCACCTGGGGCCTGGAGGTCTCCCGGAGTCACAGCCTGTCCAGGCTCCAGA